TGTGTGTGTGTGTGTGTGTCACACACGCAATCAGTTTTATGTACGTCTTTTTTTTTTTTTTTTTTTTTTTTTTGGTCCGAAGTAGTGTGTATGTGTGTCTAATTGAGCACCTCTGGGAAGTGCTAAATAGTCGGTGGAGAGTTGTTTGGACTTTGGAGTGCGTGTAACACTGTTAGGGGGGGCTGCTCACTGCTCAGTGAGGAATGTCTGTGCACAAAGTTTCCTGGCTCATGAGAAGTTATGACAGATGTTCGTCATAGTGGGTCCCTGGCTCACCAGGTTGTGCGAATCAACTGTCTACGGGGTTAGACTTGAGTCTTGTGATGTGAGTAAGTAATGGATTGCTTTGGTCTGCGTCGGATATGTGGGCGGCCTTGTTGTTGTCCCCCTCTCCGCTGCTGCCTTGCTGCCCAGCTTGTTGCCTTTCCCTGCGGGCCGCGGCTTGTCTGCTTGCCGGCGTGTACTACTGTAGTGTAGTGTGGTTGCCTTTTCCGTCGTGACTCGGTGTTGCTTTTTTTTGTCACTCACCGCATAAATTACTGCCTTGCTCCCCATCCTCGTGCCTTGTCTTCCCGTGCCTTGTGCTTGTGCCCACTGTCGTTTTGGCCTCTGTTGCAGCGCTGCCTTCGTGCTTCGCTGCGCTGTTGCCTCGTTGCTACTCATCCGCTGGGCGCTTGCGCTGTCGCTCCATGCAGGCAGGAGGATAGGCACTGTGTTTGCTTGTGCGCCGTCACCGCCGTGTAGTTTTTGCCGTTTTTTTTGGGTTGTTTTTGCAGCCCTTCCTGGTGCCTCTCGCCGCGCGCTGTTCCAACTCGCCTGCCAAGGTGGTGGTCCAAGGTCTTTCGCTGGCAAGTTGGAACTTGGCAGTGGCGCTTGCGCTGTCGTTCCGTGCAGTTCAGTTTTTTTTAGCGTTGTGTAGTTGGGCAGCCACATTCGCATTGCCTAATTTGCCTGCCATGCCTGGTGCTTCTCTGAATCACCTTTTTAGCCTAGTAGTAGCTGCTTTTTTTTTCCTGCTTGTGCTGTTGGCTGGTGGGTGCAGGGCTGTCGACTTGCTTAAAGTTTTTGTTGTTAGCATTGCCTGGAGGCTGGTGCTTCGCTGAGTCGTTGCCTTGCTGCTGTGTTCTGGGCTGTCCACTTTCCGCAGGGGTTGAGCGACAAGCGCATGACTCAAAGCATCAGCTGAGGATGGGGATTGCAGTGCGGAGAGTGGGGATGCTTCAGCCTCCTGAGTCCTGATGAGTCAGTGCAAGCCCTTCGATGCAATCTATATAGCATCATTATTACTTATTTCAATCTATCAACATTATTTATTATTACAAGTCAATGAAGTCATTCTGCGCGCTGAGGTCCATGGCAGCAGCCGGCGGCTATGGGCGAAAGCACCTGCCAGAGGCTGCCACTCTCTCCCTGCCTGTGTTCCGTGCTTGAGGCTTGCCTCAGATTGTCTTGCTGGCCTGCTTCTTGCTTGCCTGGCCCCCTCCTTCCCTTAATAAGGCCCATTGTCACTTGGTGCGTGTTTGCCCTGTCGATGGTTTTTTTTTTTGTTTGTTTGTTCCTGATATTTAATTTAATTTTTTGAGGGAAGTACTTTTACGTCACATGGGAGTTTGTAATGGGCAAAAATAACACGAGTCAGCAACATTGTCGTGGCCTGAGTTTGAAAAGGCGGTTGTAACTCGTAACTCAGGCCGGCAGTGGTGTCAGCCTGTCAGGGTGGCGGTTTCGTGAAGGCGGTTGTGGCATGTTTGGTACTCTGGTCCGTTCCCGGGTACCGGCTTTTCCCCCATCTTTTTTTTTTTTTTTTTTTTTTTTTCATCAGATGTTTTTCTTTGTTTGCGGTCGTGGCCCAGCCGTGGGCGTGGCCTAGACATAGCGGCCATGGCCCAGCCACGGCGCCACAGGCGTGGCATAGACATCTCGGCCATCGCCCGGACACTGCCGTGGGAAAAAATGATAATAATAAATAAAAATCTGACGAAAAAAAAAAAAAAAACTGGCGCAAAAAAGAACTGATGCACAGAAAAAAAAAAAGGAATTTGCGGGAAAAAAAAAAGAAAAAAAACACCTGACGAAAGTGCTCTGTTTGAACTCTGGCCCTGATGTTACTGCCATTGTTTTTTTAATATTTTTCCCTTTACAACAAACTCTGCCCGTGTCTTCGTTGCCCTTTCGTGTTTTTTTCCCTGCCTTTTTGAAACTCAAATAGTGACATAAACGTACTTGTTTCTAACTTGATTTTATTGAAATTTGGACCATTTCTCGACTTATGCGTGTCATCATTCCCCCTTCCGCAGAATCCGCAGGAGCCATGCTAATCTTCTCTCTCTGTATCTTTCCAATTTTAATGGATGTCAGGAAGGAGTTCAATGCTTGTTTGGTTGCCTTCCTGCTGCCCTTGCTGCAGGCACACCTACTTCAAGTTGCTGCTGGACTGTGGACTGTGGACTGTGGACTGTGTGCCTGCCTGTTACCCAGTGTTATTTGCCCTACTGTTTCGTCCTTTTCTGGTTCACTTTTTTGCCCACTGCCCACTGCCCACTGCCCACCCACCTTCCCTCTGAAGCAAATATGTACTTAGACTCCTTTACAGTTTCCTGGGCAGGTTACACCGTTACAGTGTGTTACACCCCGCGGCCAAGTTTACACGGCCACACCCGCCCAGCACTCAGCACTGTTATTGCCGTAACAGGCTAACAGCTGCCCAGAACCTGGCCAGCACCTGGCCAGCACCGGCCAAGTGCCCACCCACCTTTTGCTGTAAATTAGTCGGTGAGTGGGTAGGCTCACTGTACTGCTTATTGATTACTGCTTACTGCTTACTGCTTTGCTGGTTGCTGCTCAGGATGTTGTCACCTGTGGACTGCCTGCCTGCTTGCCCAGCGGCACTCACAGCAGGCTGAGCAGGGGTTGGACTGGCAGTAGACTATTAAGTCACAACATCCTGCGTGGCAGGGTGTGCTGTAGTTCAATGAACATCAATCTACGTCCTGAGCTTGACAAAGAATAAA